TGTCCAGTCATTCCGAATATTGCATCACACCGCGCCCGGTTCCGAATTGGAACTGGCGGTGACGGATCCATTTTTAATAATGACCGGTTTGTTTCGCAGATATTTGTTTTTGTTTTCATTAATACCAAGCTCTAACGGTCATTTGCTTTCTGCTTTGGTTTGTTTATCTCGCCTTTCGTTTTCTGCATATAATTGCGCTACATATTTCCGAATTTCTTCGTGCACTTGACGGCGTCGTTGGGTCGCAAGTTGGTTGGGGGTGTTGCCAATGTCTCTGCATGCCATTTTTTAACGGTTTTTATCTTAGTTTTAAGCTGCTCAAGTGCCACTACATGGATCGGAGGCGTAATGTTATGAAACAAGTTTTTTTTTGTCTTATGCATGACTATTTCTTTGTCGAAATGGAGCGATCTTTTACGATCATGGCGATAGTGTGAATGGATTTTTTATGCCTATTAAACCATGCAGATTAGGCTGTTGTTTCAATTGCTCTTGGAAGCACGTGTGCTAAATTAGACAAAATCGTTTGATGAATGGAGTGTACGATGTCGCAAAAATCGTTTCGATATGCCCGCGTGAACTTGCCCCTGGGGTCTGGGAGTTCAGTCGCATTGCACGAGGGCTGATGCTCGGGTTGGATTCAATCATTAGAAAGTAATTGTTTCAACTTATTGTGAACATTTAACCATCTAATAAGACTGCTGGAATGGTGCAACGTTAAGGTGTTTTTTTTTTCATAACATGATCGAAATCAAGGTGTATATAGAAAGGTGATCTAGTTTTGTCACTTTGGGAGGAGAAGTAATATTTGAACAGTTGAAAGTCAAAGTTGTAGAATACTATTTTTTATATTTTTGAGATTTTTGCAAAAGGGATCAGCATGCCAGGATCCATTAGGATAACACAAATCAAGACCAACAATTGAAATGGCCTTAACTCCATTTTGTAAACAAACCTTGTAAGGCCATTTTCTCGCGAACCGAAACCTTCATTCGCAAACCTAAACCACAATCGGCTAGAGAAAAATGTCCCCTACCTGTTCATTATTTTGGTTTGCCTTTGCGGACTTCGGTTCGCGAGAAAATGGCCTTACAAGGTTTGTTTACAAAATGGAGTTAAGGCCATTTCAATTGTTGGTCTTGAAATATTCAATTTAGTAGGTAGGGGAAATGGATGTTTGGCCTATGGATCTAAGATTGGGCCCATCGCTAAAAAAAAGGGGCTATTATCAATTTTATCTAGATGAACGTGTCATTGGGACGGTACTAATGGATATTTTTGATCGCTAATAAAAATTAAGTCGATTGCTGAATTTATGTATGGGCCCAAATTTGGGGCATTTAGGCCAACATTATATCCATTTCCCCTATGAGAAGAGATTCTAAATATATGCACTATTATGAAAGTATATTATTTATTTATTCTGAATCCGATGAATCAGATATTGCGGAATCAGAATCATCACTCATGTTATTTTAATCTAATAAATTGTTAGCATCAGGTGACACTATGAGTGTTAATAAGCATTTGCTTGAAATCAATGGATCCGATAGCTCATGCAAGCGATGAAGTACATCGGTTTCGGTTCAATCCGCGAAATTTTTCTCGAATGGTTTTCTCATGTTCTTCTTATTTTGCACCGCTTCTGAAAGCTGTCCGATAGGGATCATGAAGTGATCTATCATCTCTAATCCGTGCCTGAGCATCTTATGGACAGATGCAGGCAGATAATACCACGGATATACAACAACAAGCCTTCGCGGAGTTGCAAGGCAATATTCGTCGAATTTTTATGCATTCACTTTTTTCCCGCTTGCAAGGGCTTGCAAAATAACCCCTTTGCTTCCATATGACGGTAACTGATTTGTTCTGTAGGTGCAACCAGACAATGTTATCGTCATTTATTGTTCCAATATTCAATAGCAATATCAATGCCAGAATCAAACAGTACTTACCATTAGTTTTGGAGGTCAACTTCGAATAACACTTTTCAAACAGCTTGTGTTTAGAATGTCAATTTTGATAAGCAGGAAAATAACGAAAAGGATGAAAACGATCAAAGTTGGCTATGCATAGGCACTGCATATGAATCAGGTGTTGCCAATCTGCCGCTGTTTGTCGCCTTCAATTAGTTTGTGCTCAAAAATGGAAAAACTTTTGATCAAAAAAACAATATATTTCTGAAATAACCATATTTTGTTGTACAAATTTATGTATTTTTGTTTTCTGAACAATTTTGGACAACATAAAGAATTGGTAAAATAAACACACAAAAAGTTATTTAAAAAAATTTACCCCTCAATTGTTTGAAAATACGATTTCACTTACTTTAAAAAAAAAAATTGAAAGAAAGTTAGTTTCCTCAGCAAACCTTCTTGTAATGATAAGTTCTACAACTTTGCTTTTTTTTTAATTTGTATGGTCCATAGATAGTTGCCAACCCCCCCCCCCTTAAACTGTCTACGTAGTTACTGAACAGCCCCTAATCATGAGGCATCCCAGCAGTTCATGACGTAGATGCTGTAGTGATACAGAAATCGTAGTTGAACTCTAAAATATATTGTAGATAAAACCAGGTACATATTTATTATACAGAATTGAATATTTAAATAAAAATAACAACACGGTTAAATGTAAGCACAACCCAAACGCTCACTGCATCATGTTTGGCAACCAGGCATGTAATTATCGCAAAGCCTATGCGTTTTGGCAGCATTTCCGGAATGTTCGGTCACATAACTGAGATGCGAATTGGATTCATTCTGTGTGCCTATTTCATGAAAGCAGGACGTGCGTTTCAACGTGGGATACGACCTCGGATACGACATGGCGGAGCCGATAGGTAAGTAGAGTGAAAATTGTGAATAAAATTAATTGTTTGGTCAGCAAAAATTATCACCGATAAAAAAAAATGCTTTGTTAAATTAGTGCGAGCGAAGCGGTCTTAGCACATTTATGTATGAAAAATGTATGAGCGAAGCGGTTCCAAATACAGCATTGCATGAGTAAATCGGCCTAGCAAAAAAGAAAAAAAAAAGAAAAAAAAGAAAATGGTTGAGCGATGCGGCCTCAGCCCTTAAATAAAATGCGTGGAAACTAAAAAAAAAATTGTTTTTTTATTGTGAATTACAGCGAAACAAATGCAGACGCAGAATAAGCAGAAACAAGGTTATAGGATGAAGGATATGACACGTGAAGCACCGGTTGAAAATGCTAACGCCCCTCCGGTAGAGAAACAGAAGAAAAAATATAAAATGAAAGATCTGTCCCGTGAACTGGCAGCTGAAAAGGCTAAAAACACACAGCTCATGGAAGAACTCGAACAAAGTCAGCGAATCAACGAGGAACTCTTGGCTAACCAAGCTGATAAAGAGGCTGATGGATCCGATTTTGACAGGGAAACCCGGTTTTCCAGCACTCGGAGAATGACAGCTGTACCACACTTGGAAGAGTCCAGGTTCTACACGTCCATTAATCAGCTTTCCATTGCACTATGGGCAAAAATGGGTCCAAAATTACCCAAAATTCAATATCTCAACAGCACGCTGAATTCCGGCCATGAAAAACGACTTTTCCGAAGGGAAATCGTCCGGGGAATCGATTGCACGTGGTCCCATAGACCGGAAAGCCTTGTAGGTATGTGTTTTGAACCATTTTACTCCATTTTCCCCTACTTTTTGGAGGAAAAGTTTTTTCACAGCTCTATTTTTCGTAAAACATAAGCACTTTATGCATGGTTTTAGAATACTATGTCTTTAAACAACAGTTCATGAGATATTAGGGGAATACGGGGTACACTTTATAGGGGAGTAAGAGGTAAAAGTGAAAATACAATCAATGTTTTTTAATACAAAATCCATTAATATTATAATATTTTTTTTCTGAAAAATACTTTTAATTAACTTTTATTTGGTATTTTGAGTTCCGTTATCGGCCAAACAATTCAAAAGTTATAAATTTTTGAAAAAAAAATCGAAAAAAAATTTTTTTTACCGCCCTAATATATAAATAGTCACCCTTATGACAAAATAAAAAATACTGGTCTAATATGTTACGATAAGGAACAAAACTACCAATTTTTACAAAATTCTGAGAACCATTATATCGTTTTGCTGTATACAGACAAAAAAAAAAGTGAAAACTCTTTTAAAACAGATAGCAGTAAATTAAAACTTATTTAACCCCAATTAACCTTAACATTTCGAAAAAAAAATCTTATTATTGCAGGCAACCTTTGGGGCATTCAAACAATCGCATCGTTCAACATTTTTATGAATTAAAATAAATTTAGCGAGGGTTCACTTTTACCCCTTACTTCCCTTTAAAGTGTACCCCGTGTTCCCCTAATATCTCATGAACTGTTGTTTAAAGACATACTATTCTAAAACCATGCATAAAGTGCTTATGTTTTACGAAAAATAGAGCTGTGAAAAAACATTTCCTCAAAAAAGTACGGGTAAAACGGGGTAAAATGGTCCAAAACACATACCTACAAGTCTCTCCGGTCTATGGGACCACGTGCAATCGATTCCCCGGACGATTTCCCTTCGAAAAATTTGTTTTTCATGGTCGGCATTCAGCGTGCTGTTAAGATATTGAATTTTAGGTAATTTTGGACCCATTTTTGCCCATAGTGCATTGCCTCGGTGAACAGACCCGAATGCAAACCTGCGGATGACGGTGATATTCATCGCCAGTCTTTTGAAGCTTGGAAAGATCTTCTTGTGGACTCAATGACATTGGCAGGAGTGGAGGATGAACTCACTAAGTTCACCATTTTTAAGGTTAAGGCCGGTGCAAAACTTCTTGAAATCTTCAAGAACACTAGGTCGTCGAATGAAGATCCGAATGTTGACTATTTTCCATTCACGAATGCAATGTCCAGGCTCAAATAATACTTTGGGTCGGGATCAGATGTAATGCTAATAAGGCGTAAATTAGCATTGTTGACGCAGAAGCCAGATGAGTCCGACTTATCATACATAAATCGGGTTGGCTCAATGGCTAGACTCTGCGAGTTCGATGGCTCAAAAGAATTCGAACAGATCGTCGCAACAATCGCCGAGCATGCTATAAACCGAGATGTCCGAACGACTGCACTAAAAATGCTGAGTCGCAATAAGTGTTTCACAGACCTGATCGATAAAGTACGCGAAATTGAAACCATTAAATTGAACGAAGAATACGTCCGTAAAAAGTACCGGAATGTCGAGCAAGGAGTGGTAGCATCCGTTAGTGCATCTTTTCCGAGAAACACGAGTCATTATACACCGCAGAGAGGTTTCCAGCATCACGTAAACAGATCAATGAGAGGAGGCAGTCGAACTCTACGTGGCAGACAACCTTACGCTAGTGGTGGTCTATCGTTCCGTTACACACCTAAGGAGTCTTACGCTAGTGGTGGTTCATCGTTTCGTTACACATCTAAGGAGAAATGTTGGCGCTGTAACAGCATATATCACGAGGCTGATGTTTGTGGTCACAGAGTAAAGAACTGCAACAACTGCGGGATTCTTGGTCACATTCAGCGAGCGTGTCTCTCTCGTGGTAGAGGTCATGTTATGAAGCGACAAGCAACGGAGTCGTTGGAGACTACTGCGAAGAAGATAGCAGCAATTGAAGAAGTGAAAGATGACTTGGTTTCTATTGAATCAGTAAGTGAATCGACTGAATTTTAAGTTGATTTTTTTTTTATTTTTTTCTTTGAAATATCATTAACGCACAATGTTCTGAAACAAAAAAAAAATGGATAAAAATACAATTTAATAATCATTGCTTCTAAAAAAAAAAATAAAAAATAAATAAATAATAAAAAATTTTAAATAAAAAATTAAATATATAACACTTCCGTTATTTACTATGTATTTGAAAGGTATCTCAAAAAGGCAATGTTAAATAAAACAATCTTATCAATAGTAAACACATCTTCCTACATGTACGTTCGGAACCTGCACAAACTGTGGCGGAAGTTGTTTCAAAATCTATAGTTGGCCCTCAAATGCTATCAAATCAAGTTCAAGGGATTATTCTCGAGAACGTTGCACAGGTATCTAAGTAAATAATTTGTAAGATGATGTATCTCATTATGTATATACACAGGTTGCGTGTACCAGCTCCAATGTCCAGTATATTGGGAGAAGCGACGCTACTATCACTGCGAAGGTATCAGGTATGCAATGCGTATTCATGATTGATTCCGGTGCGCAAGTGAATACGTTCACCGAGAAAATGTTTGAGGAGCTGATTTCACACGGCAGCTATAGCAGCGGGGTTTTAAATGTCCAGTATAAATCAGACAAGTCACTCAAAGCATACGCAACAGAAGATACCATCAACGTTTTGGCTACGTTCCATGCTCCCCTTTATATATCCAGCGATAGGCCAACCTTCGTAGAGAAATTTTATGTAGTCAAAGAAGCCCGTGCTTTACTAGGAAGACCAACGTCATCACGGTACAGTGTTTTGATGCTAGGTTTACAAGTTCCTATTCAATATAAAGGGTGTTCACGATGAAATTGACACACTATGAAATTGCTCTAACTTTTTAACCGTTGGGTAGAATTTAATGAAAATTTGGGTGGATTTAGTTCATAGTGCATTATTTACATCCTGCAAGTTTTAAAGTCCTGTGATCAAAACTCGCGGAAATGGAGTCGAAAGAACAGCGCGTGCGTGATAAAATCTTGCGCATTCATCACGAGAACAAGGATCTCTCGCATCGTTCCATCGCTAAAACGTTGGGAATCGCGAATTCCACGGTGTCGCGAGTGATTAAGCGGTTCGAGGAACGGTTGACCACCGATCGGAAGCCCAGAAGTGAAGGAAAAAGTATTCCGTACAACACCAAAAATCACAACCACGTAGTTGGGGCCTTCAACCGAAATACGAACGCCTCCGTTAGGGATGTGGCTAAGAAGCTGCACCTAAGCCGAAGTTTTGTCCAGAAGGCCAAAACTAAGGCTGGGCTTCGAACGTTCAAGGTACAAAAGGCCCCTAATCGCGACGAGAAGCAGAACAAGTCCGCCAAAACCCGTGCCAGGAAGTTGTACCTCAACATGCTGACGAAAGTTAAATGCTGCATCATGGACGACGAAACATATGTGAAGGCCGACTTCAAACAGATCCCCGGTAACCTGTTTTTCATGGCCAAGGATAAGTTCAGCGTTCCGGAGCATGTCCACACTCAGAAGATGTCCAAATTTGCGAAGAAATTCCTGGTTTGGCAAGCCATCAGCACGTGCGGGAAGCGGAGTGCACCTTTCGTGACCCAGGACACGATGAACGGACAGGTGTACATAAAAGAGTACCTCAAGAAGCGGCTGCTTCCTCTCCTGAAGGCCCACAACGTCCCAACAATCTTCTGGCCGGATTTGGCCTCATGCCACTACTCCAAGGACGTGCTGAAGTGGTATGCGGACAATAAGGTCAATTTCGTGCCGAAAATGTTCAACCCTCCCAACACTCCGGAGCTCCGCCCCATCGAGAAGTACTGGGCGATTATGAAGCAGCACCTTCTTAAACGACCTAAGGTAGTGAAGACAGTCGAGGAACTGAAGAAAGTATGGGTTTACATGCAAAAAACGGTTGATTCACAGGTTGTGCAGAATCTTATGGCCGGGGTTAAGGCCAAGGTGCGGGCATTTGCAAATTTCCTAAATTCAACGTCCCTCCAGTTAAAATCTACTTTGACACATCGAAACCACCATGCAGGAATGTTTTTACTAATATTCCTCTGGCAGTCAAACCGTTAGTCGAAAAAAGACTCCAGAATCTGGTTTCAGCCAACATTATCGAAAGAGTAGTCGATGGAATGGATACTTCGTTCTGCTCGTCAATGTTGGTGGTACCCAAAGGTAAAGACGACATACGTCTAGTAATTGACTTGCGTGGACCAAATCGCTATATTCACCGAACTCCATTTCCAATACCTACTCTGAAGAAAATACTCTCCGAGTTAGATGGGGCCAGATGGTTTTCTCAAGTCATTTAATTTTATTTCAATTTTTGCTAATAAACAAATGTGCTCAAGTTTGTCACTGACAGCATTGTCACTGTTAATTGACATGATTTGCCTTGACGATGACTCTTAGCTCAAATGCAATCGAGAAATGTTTGAAACAATCTTTAACTGGAACGTACTCATCAAATCAATATATATGGGAGAGCATTCCCGATGCTTCCATGCATATTTTCTTCTACACCCAACCGGGGGATGTAAGATTTGCTTACAATTATGTGGGATTCATCATCAGAGGATGTTATACCATAGAGGTAACTCTAAGACCAGAAGGTCCCGAAGAAACGAGATCAACTTTTTGACTCAGCTCTGGTACTATCTTCGGTCCCAAGCTAATCGATTTATACTATAATGGGGTACGTTAGTCGATTTGCTTGGGACCAATAGGCTAGTCAAGTAGTGAGCCAATTAAAAATCGTTAGTTTCGTATTGATTGTTGGTTATACCCCGTTCTTATTACAGCCTATACACATAATATAGGCTGTCTTGCAATGAGCACTCATACATAGGATTTCCAGTGAAAACTAGATGTATGAGTGCTCATTGCAAGACAGCGTATATCACTTGATATACGCTGTAATGTGAACGGGGTATTAGTGGAAACCGCATGAACCGAGGATGCAATATACCGAGCTACAGTCCAATGTAAGAAAATGGAGAAAGAAAAATGTGGAGTCTATTAGCATAGAGGTAACTCTAAGACCAGAACGTCCCGAAGAAACGTGCTCAACTTTTTGGCTCAGCTCTGGTACTCTCTTCGGTCCCAACCTAATTGATTCACCCCTCAAAACATAGGAAAATCCACGAATTTCGACTAGAATGGGGCACGCTAATCGATTTGCTTGGGACCAATAGGTTAGTCAAGTAGTGAGCCAATTTCAAATCGTTAGTTTCCACCGGTTGGTATTAGGGAGTAAAATGAATCATGTCGAAAAAAAGTGCCGTTTGGGGGCTCGAAATCACGAACGTTGCGATTATAAGACCAGTGCTTTCTCCACTGCTCTCTCCATGCTTCGGAATATGGATAGGCTTAAAACAAACAAGAAGTGCTCATTTCCTCGCATACTCGACTTCGTTTGCTTTTCTGCTGGAGAGAATCGAGGCAAGTGTGTACGTCGTTCTACCAACAATCAATACAAAACTAACGATTTAAAATTAGCTCACTACTTGACTAGACTATTGGTCCCAAGCAAATCGATCAACGTACCCCATTCTAGTATAAATTCCAGTACTACACTATGTTTGTTTTGATTCGGTATGAAAGTTTGACAGATAAAATGAGGGGTTCTGGATTTTCCAATATTTCGATGGGTGAATCGATTAGCTTGGGACCGAAGATAGTACCAGAGCTGAGCCAAAAAGTTGAGCTCGTTTCTTCGGGACCTTCTGGTCTTAGAGTTACCTCTATGGTTCTACCATGTTATACATAACAATCAAGGCAAATGCTTCCTTGTGTAGGTGAAAGCATATTTTTTTTTTTTGACGTAAGACTACGTCTTTGATTTCTATATGGGGGTACACTTTGTGAAAACCGAAAATGGAACATGTAACAAATTAAGAAAGATTTTGAACGTTAATAACTCACCTGCCCCTGGTCCAATTTCAATAATTTTATCACCAATCGATCAGAAATATGGCTACGCATCGATAACAATGCATTCCGAATGTTGATTTTCAACAAGAAACTATTGAAAAACTGGTAAATGTCCAGCATTGTCCAAAAGCGTCGAATTAACTAACCAATTCACCAATTACCTACATGCATATGCTGCTTCCCCAGCACAGTCGTCAGAGAGTAGTAAGTAGACGAAACAAGTCGAAGTGGCATTCACCTGCGATCCTCGGGCGCGTGCGAATAGGGTGGATGGAAATGCGTAATATTTTGCACACTCATCGCCATATTCAGAACCAAACGCAAATTCTTCGAGATAACTACCATCCGTCGTCTGGCTCGCCAATGCGGTGTCTGACGTATCTCAGGACTGATTTACGAGGTGTGCTGAAGGTGTTCCTGAAAAATGAGATCCGTGATGCTGTCACCTACACTAAACACGCCAAGCGTAAGCGGCCATGGATGTCACCTACGTTTTGAAGTGACAGAGACGCACTCTGTTTGGTTTCGCGGGTTAAATCATCACCAACTTTGGCAACAAAACGGCTCTTTTCAGGGCCACCAAGCTTATTACAGTAAAGAGTAGGAATAGAATTCATCTGCCTGTTTGCCCATATTCAGAACCAACGAACACACAAAATGCTCATGTAATCAAACTGGAAGCAGGGGTACAAATTATGTTGATCAACCTTGATCAACTTTGAATCGCCACGGCCGGATATTTTCGATGGAAGAAGCAACAATCTAGCATCTAATTCGACGAAGACGGCAGGAAACATTTGTGAAGCCGAGTTATTTACGAAAGAGAGTATCGATGAAGAGAATCGATCAATGTAGATAGGACCTATTGAAAAGTGACGCGATTTGTTTTCCGTACTGAGCTCCAATGCTACCGACGCCAGGGAGGCAGCTCCCACACCTGGACCCTACCTATCGACCCATCAACTCATGAACCGGGGACCAACGGCTTTACTTCCCGAAGGAAGGCGTGATCATAGATGTTATGCCTTAGAACATGCCGGTGGCGCCGACTGAGATTTGACCCAGGC